GGTTTCTCTGTGTAGCTTTGGAGCCTATCCTGGAACTCGCTCTGTAGACAAGGCTGGCCTAGAACTCACAGAGATCCGCCTGCCTCACTCCCGAGTGCCACCACTGCCTGGCTGCCAAGTTATTTTTTAAATTCATATTTTATTACTTGGAGGTCAATTAAACTCACAAGAACACAGATCATTTAAATGTCCATGAGATTTGAGCTTTATTTCTTATATAAAATCGTTCACTTGTTTATTAGACTTTTTCTTCAGAATTTTAATCTGGGGCCTTTGGAGAAACAATTTAGTAAATGTCTCCTGAAATCAGACTTGATTTTACTTAGGAAAAAATATTCAAAAAAATTTTTTAGACCCAGGCTTACTAAAATATCTAAGAAAAATCAATAATATAATCATGTAGTAAATCACTTTGCCTTCTTGTTGTTAGTAATTTTCACTCAGAGATGATTTGAAATTGTTTATAGAAAACAATGATAAAATGCCATGGCAAAGGCCATGGCAGACCGGCAGTCTAAGATGGGCATTGAGCTCTGTGATACCAGAGAATGTTACATGGTTTAGCACACACATAAAATGGAACTATGTGCAGTGAAGTAGAAGTTTAAAGATATTGTAAATAGAGTTAAAAATCCTCAGCTACATGGTGTGATAAAGACTTCTTAGAGGTGAAAGGGTCCTTAGGAATTTTATGTAGACAGTGTTTCTTGTCCCACCTGGTCCTGTAGACATTCAGTTCCAAATAAACACACCGAGACATATATTAATTAGAAACTGTTTGGCCGATGGCTCAGGCTTCTTATTGACTAGCTGTCTCTTAATTATTAACCTATTTCTATTAATCTAAGTATTCCCGCACACTGGAGAATGCCCAGACCTGCTCCTCCTTCAGCGGCTGCATGGCAACTCCCTGGTGGCTCCTCTCTGCATTCTTTCCCCAGAATTCTCCTAATCTCATAGACCCACCTATACTTCCTGCCCGGTTATTGGCCAATTGGTGTTTTGTTCATCAACTAGTAAGAAAAACATATATTAACAGCATACAGAAGGACATTCCCCCATCAATTTTGGCAGCCCTTGGGTCTCAGAAGTTCATCCGAGGCCTATGGACAGAATTAAAGCAAATCCTTGCATTTTAAATTGAATTCTCTTCCTGATGTTTATTTCATGTCTACACAAGCATAGATGTATACTCCTTTAGCTTTGCAAAGGAGTATATAGGTAGAAAGATACATAAATTACTGGAAGAATGCTTTTAATTTTTACTGTATTGAAGAATTAACTTAAAAAAGACCTTTTTCTATAACCTGGAAAAGTGAGTGGAGCATCAGGCTGCCAGAGTTGAGCAGTGGAAGGCATTATGTCATCATTTAGGAGCAGGGATAAGGATAATAAGCATAGGAACACTAACAAGTCATCATATGTGGGGAGATGGGGATAAGTGAGCTTCATTTTTAGACTTGGTACACAGTGAATTGAATTATGTATGATTGTTTAATGTTTCCACTGTCTGATCCTCCATGTGTTATGGTCTGTGGACTAAGTGGGGCCTGAGTTGTAAACCTAGCCTCCTGGGGCTAGCCCCCATGTGTAACAATAACTCTTTCTGCTAGCCGCCTGAATTTTGCTGCCATGTTAGGGCCCCCAATTAACACACAGAGTCTTATATTAGTTACAATGCTGCTGTGACTAGGATTTTTTTATTTGCTAGCTCTGTCTTAAGTATCAATCATAACTATCAATCTATATGTTTTATAAAGACTTACCTAATCCAGGACACCAGTGGCATGTGTCTTCTCTTCCTGGGATCACATGGCAACTCTTTACTACATTTCCCAGAATCCTCCTCAACTCCTAGTACCACCTATTGCTTCCTTATTGGCCTACAATGCTTTATTTATCAACCAATAAGACAAACATATACACATAAGGACCTTCCCGATCACCTGTGTTTTCAGGAATAAACTTGTGGTCATGGAAAGCCCCAGGACATGGTGAGCCTCCATGGACTTTCTTTGAGGAAAAACTCAGGTGGCTGTGTAATATGGTTTTTTTCAGGAAAGAGTTATCCGTGAGAGTGAGCTCTCACTAAGGAAGGAGTGGTTGATGAGTGTTAGGTGAAGCAGCGAAGAAAGGGACTGAGTGTCCATGTCCCAGGCTGGTGCCCTGGCCACAGTAATGGAACACCAGAGGAGAAAGTGGGGTGCTGAGCTCTGACTTGATTCTAAAAGCTTGACTCAAACAAGGAAGGGTCAATGGAGCAAATGCTAGTGGCAGGTTTGAGGTCTGAGGTCTTGTGCTTTGCTTCTGAGCAACATGAGCTAGCACAGACACAGTTTAAAAACTACAGAAAAGAGATGGATGGTTCATATGCTATCACATTAAAGGAGAAGGGCAGGTGTGGAGCAGAGGACATCTGTCTTGGAGACTTGGACATAAAGCCTCATACAGAGCATCCACTTTCTTTGGTGAAGAGAGGGCAGGGAGTTGGGGACACTCATTTTTGGTGCTCCTCATTCTTCTGAGACATGTAAAGCATGTTATAGAGTAAGAGGGACCTGAATGCAGGTTTTGGTTTTGAAACAGATAGAGAGATTAAATAGACAGTCTATGAGACAAATCCACTGAAGACTGGATGGCACGGGTTAGGTGGAATAGCACATGAGAGATTATTCTCCATCCACATAGGAGCAAAGAACATTCTATCAAGTTATTGTGATGATCAAATGAAGAGCAGGTGATTCAGGAGGATAAAGGGATGGAAGACCAGAGAGTGGTGGAAAAGATGTCATTCAATTTAATGAGAAAGGATGAATCAGAAACCAGTCAGATCATGAAGCTAAAATGTGTTAGCATCAGAGATAGAAGCTGAGCTAGTCAGTGCAGTGTCGAGAGCTCACGGCTGGACCACTAAGTTGTGTGCGTTACTTTGTTCTGAAGTGGACTCCTCTCAGTGCTTACTGTCTGACAGGAGATTCATGACTGGAAAATTGATCCCAACTAGGAAGTCATCCCTCCAAGAGCTACCTCCCGGTGAAACCGTGAAAGTGAGGAGGGTCCACTTCTCCTGAAGACCAGGGAAGGCTTCTGGTTGAGATGTTGGCTTTTGCATTTATTCATATATTTACAAAAGATGCTTTTTATTTTCTGTTTTTCCAGCCTGTCTCAGGATTTTTTTTTTAAAATTATGTTGAGCTGATTGGCCATTCTTAGGTTCATTGTTTCTTTCTCTTGCATATTTTATAGTTGATATTATGAGAAACAAAGGTGTGAGTTGACAGCTACTCTAGCTTCTTACAGGTCATTCTGCAGACATATATGTACATAGAAAAAGCCTAGCATAGCAGTGCCTGTCTACCAGAGATAATTCCTGCTCTTCTTCTCCATTGTTACAGTCCCATGGGAAGTAGGCTGAATGTAACAACCAGATGGCACTCAACATTTACAAAGGCAAGAACACTAAGTGCCAGAAAATATATTTCAAATACAGTTTTTAAGACCATTTAAATATATATAATGTACATTTATTATATGTAATTATGTACAACACACATAAAATATATAATTATACCATATATTTTAATATATAGTCATATATGATATGCTATAACACATATAAAATATAATTATTTGTACTTATGTGTACATAAAATAAAAATCATATATATAAATATATAGATATTTAAAGTAAAAATATATACATTTAAAGTATATATTAAAGTATATTTAAAGTATATATCAGTAGTAATCCATAGATGTTTTAATTTTGATAATTTATGCTGGGCATTGGTGGCGCACACCTTTAATCCCAGCACTTGGGAGGCAGACGCAGGTGAATCTCTGTGAGTTTGAGGCTAGCCTGGTCTCCAGAGTGAGTGCCAGGATAGGCTCCAAAGTTACACAGAGAAACCCTGTCTCAAAAAAACAAAAAAATTGATAACTTTGACATATGACACATCAGATCCACATCTGAGTTAATGAATATTTTCAACTTTGATGAAATTTATGACATCATTCTCTAAATGTCAAAGGCAACAATACAGTGCAAAATATGTAAATAAATAAAATTGAAAAATCTGGGCATGCTGGTGCATGTCTGTAATCCTAGCATCCAGGAGGCAGAAGCAGAGGCAGCATAATTTCTGAGGCCAGCCTGTCCTACATACCAAGTTTCAAGCCAGGGCTAGTCAGAGAGACCCTGTCTTAAAGAAACAAATAAGCAAACAAAGAAACAGCAAGAGTTTAGACACATATTGCATCACCTTAATTCAGAACTACTTTATGACATTTTCTATAGCAACCTTTTATGGCTTTATATATTTCATATGACACAATGAGTAATAAATACATATCTGTAGCAAGATGAGTTTGGTATTATATTGTATATTATTATTTATTATTATATTATACACCTTTATATATATTTGTAGAGGAAATGTTAGCATGCCCTCTTGGGGGCTGGCACAGGTGATACAGACCGTGCACACCGGGGCGTGGTCAGAGTGACATAGCAAGACCTTAAAAATGAGGGTTGCATGCAGGCGGCTCTCTCTGTTCCCTGAGATGCTTGGTTGAATAAGACTGACTCCATCATATGAGTACTTTTTCTAATAAACATCTGCTCATCAAACTTGCTCTGACTCCATAGCGATCTGCATTTATTGCGTCTCGCTTTATTTGGTGTCAGAAGTGGGATTTTTATTCTGAACCCATGGCTAACATTTCCCCCTACATATATTATATTATTTACCTTTAGTTATTGACCTGGCCATAATTAGAAAAGTCATTAGTTCTCAAAAAGGCCATTCAGGTGGACTGGACCCCTGTTTCTGGTAGTTATTTTAGATAAAAGCTAAGCGTTAAAAGTGTGTATTTGTGGTTTGTGTTTTATGTATTTCAGATAGGGAAGGAGCATGTTGGCTTGAAGGCTGTGACTGAGATACTCCAGGATATCCAGTATAAGGTAAATCATTTTAAAGAAGTTCTATATGAGTTCCCAGCAGTTGTCTCTAGGCTTGATAATTCTCTAGAAAGGACTTATGGGACTCTAAATAGCTGCTAGAGTTAACAGTTATGGTTTATTATAGTGTGATACTGGGAAAGGGACTTGGGTTGAATTCTAGGGGCACCTGGAGCAAGCTTACTGAGGTTTTTTCTGGGGCCCCAGAAGTCCCAGCAAGATGTGAACTAGGGGAATTCCCCAATTAATTTCCCCTGGAATCTTAAATCCTGCTGTTGTTTCTCTCACAAACAAGGCATCCATACATTTCCAGGATAAACACATTGACTCACACTAGTATAGCAGGCTTTGAGGGCCAGACCCAAGGGCCGAGTTGAAAACCCCAGGAGCTCACCTTAAATATGGTATAGCCCAAGCTTCAGGTATAGGCAAACATCTTACCAAGTGTGGGGGTACTCCAAAGGCTCAGAAGCCATCTTCCAGAAGGCAACCAAGGGGTAGTTCTGAAGTTAGAATGTGGAGGCTTCAAGAAGCCCTGCCCTGCTGAGTCCAGCAAGTGAGGAACACACTTCCTCTGGCATCTGTGCATATGGCATCTGCTTTAGTAAAAATGTTTCTGTGTGGCTGGCTGGCATCAGTTATACATTCTACACCAGGCATTATAAGAGAAATTTAAATTCAAAGCAAATAGCTGTAGACTCGGAACAGGTGTATTTTATTGGATCCAGTTGATCTCACGCCAATGAGAAGAGTGTCCACTCACTAGTGTTGGGACCTGGCATAGATCTTTAGTTTTTAATAAGTTTTACTCAAATATTTATGTTTTCTATTCACATGTCCTGAATTACTTTTCCTTCTCCAGGGAAAATCCAAAACAATACCCTGCTTTAATCCTAACACTTTATTACCAGGTAAGCATGTATCTGGTGGCCTGCAATGAACATGAACCATGTGTCACCACACTGCTTTCCTTAGAGTGCTCATAGCCATAATGATATCATACATGATTCGTTAGCAGGGTTGCTTTGCAGTTCTGTTCTCTATAGCAGGTGCAGTTTCCGATCACTGTTGATAAGGCAGGAAACCTTTTGAATGTTAGGAAACCCTCGCCACTGCTTCCTTATTCCAGAAAGAACATTCTCAGTGACATCATTTGTAAAATGGAAAATTGCCACCTCAGTGTGAAGTCCCCACAACCATCACATAATGACACACCTCTAAGCTTATGAGACTGTTTCTAGAATGAAATAAACTTTATATCTAATTTTATAAGATCATTTCCTTACAGCATCATGATTTAAATATCTTAATTGTATTTGTGCACAGGTAATAATTATACACAAAACACTCTGAATATAACTTGGAGTTCAAGGTGGTTTTTAATAAAAAGTTTTGGTCTCCACGTTTCCCTGCTTAAATTGTGTGCTGTTCCATAGTGTTTCAAACAACACCAAATAGATTGATCCATTTGTATCCTCTTTCTACACTTAACTGCTCTATCACGAACTAATTTCCCTTACGTATTGAACACTCACTTTGGTATATTTAATCCTCTTAGGCAGTGCTAAGGAGTTAAAATCCATGACTTGATTTTTCTTATCACATTAGGATTTTAGTGATGTGCTGCTGAAGAAGCAATGTAGAGATGGCTTGAACAGAATGTTTTAAAACGCAGTCTTTGAAAGCAGACTGCTTGGGTTCAAATCCTTTGACAATTTTGTGTGATCTTGGAAATTGTGTAGGTAGGAAATTACTAACATCCTGAAACTGTTTGCCTGTCTCATTTCTTTGTTGGGAAGATTCAATAATTGATTTATACTACTCTAAATAGTACTCAACACATAGTTCAATAGGTATCAGCTATGATTCAGCTGATAAAAAATGGGCAATAGTTTCCTAAGTATGTTAAACTTGATAGATATGTCTAGTGAGCCATTGATAGAGATCTCTGTAAATATAAAGGGAATTAATAATGTTTTTCGTTATTTTCTTCACAAATGTTAGTTTAAGGCTTTGTATATGAGACTCTAACTTAAAAATGCCATCCATCTGAGAAGTGACAGACTGCATTTTGGAAATCATTGCTCGAGTTGTACCTCCATCAGCTTGCCCTTTCATAACACGTCCATGTGTTTGCACAGACCCTCTTCTTCGGGATTACTGGGTCTACGAAGGCTCTCTCACCATCCTACCTTGCAGTGAAGGAGTTACCTGGATATTATTCCGCTACCCCTTAACCATATCCCAGCTGCAGGTGAGTATGTACTTTGAATGTTTCAGAGTGAAGTCCTGAGGTCAAATGTTCTTTCTGTAAAGGGAAAATGTCTGTTTTATGCTTTAGTTCCTGTTAGATAAGTTACAGCTTTTAGATAAAAGTTGACTGTGTGAGCCAGGGAAAGCAATGGGAAGATCAAGGATGAAGCAAACCAATGATCTCTTTTTTAAAAGTTAGTTTTTACAGAGCAAATAGAAATCACTGAAACACCAAACTTTCGACTAGTTTATCTTTATGTGGATTTTTCTAGAGGTGGGAAAGAGACAGCATTTTCCAGGCATATAATGGTTCTCTCTTGGCATTCAAGACACTGTGATGTATGAGGGTATGTAAGAGCCAGAAAGAAAGCCCTTGGAAATTCTGGATTGCTTCCTGGCTTTACTCTTGCTGTCATTGGATTCCACATAGATACTCTAAATGCTAACAAAAGCCATCTGTGGAGACCCATATCCACAGGAACGCTAAGGTGGTAATCTCATTTGAGTCTAGGAGGTTAAGACTCAGCTAAGTACTGTAGCAAGAGGCACACTACAAAAGAAGAAAAAAAGGTAAATGCTAATTCCCAGGGAGCAGAAACACCCAGTAAGTTTTGGCTGTATGTTAGCTGGGAAAAAATGAGTCAGCACCTCTAGTGTGTGCTTATTGATTTGAAGGGGCTCGGGTTATAACTCTGGAGAACTTGCCTAGTGTGTTCTGGCTGTGTTCTAGTGTCCTGGCCCTGGCTTGACCTATAGGACCATATATTCATATGAGTATATACTCATATATTCATATATCTATATATATATATATATACTCATATATACTCATATATACTCATATATCTATATATAGATATATGAGTAAAATGGTTATAGTATCATAACAAAGATGTCTGAATGGTTTCTGTCTTTTAGAGATCTAAGGGTCATAGTCTCAAAAGCTGTATTTTCCCTTCATCACCAAACCCCAAATGCTTAAGAAATAGAACACATGAAGTTTTCTTCAGTAAAGTTTTATGATTATTTTTATAGCTCATCATTTCTTCAAGTTAAGAGACTCAAGTTCACTAACTTCTAGATTGATTCCTTGCATTATTTTTATTTTAAAATTATTTTTAGTTTTTGAGATTAAAATTACATAATTTCCTCTCTCTGAAACCCCCCCCCCCCCCCCCCCCCCCCCCCCCCCCCCCCCTCCTCTCCCCCTCTCTCCCTCCCCTCTCCTCCTTTTCTTCGGTTGTCACATAAGTATATGTATATATAAATACATGTATATTCATAAATAAATAAACATAACCTGCTGAGTCAGCATAATGTTCCTTGTATGTACTTCTCCAGGGCTGACCATTTGGTGTTTTATAACCAGTTGATATTCCATTCCCTGGAGAAGACTATTTCTCTCACTCTCAGCATTCCTTGGCTTAGCATTAATTCTTTAAAATCTTATACTTAGCATTTTCAATCTTTATTTCTGCTTGTCTAGGGAACACATTAAAGTTCCAATTCACCCTCTTCTCCATCCCTTTCCCTGTTTTTGAACTTTTACTGTGTCCCTTTCAGCTCTTATTTTCCACAAGACAAATGCTAATTCCAGTCTTCTTCATCATCTATTTGTTCTTATAAGAAACTCTGAGTGTCACCTGGGCACAAGGGACAAAGAAAGTGAAACACAACCTTTGCTCTCATAAGTGTGGCAGTCAGTTGAGAAGCAAAGTGACTGTATAGGTAGTTACAGTTGTAGTAATGTGTCCCAGAGAGTACAGGCTCGAAGGCCTGAGGAATGACTTCAGAAAAGTAGAGGCTTCTTCGGTGGGAATGAAGAAGTTAGAAAAATTTCTCTAAATATTAAAAATAGAGTCTTGGGCTAATGGTCTCTAATTTTGAGATTGAACAGTGAATTAGTATCTTTTGTAATAGATAAACCTCTAGTTTTGTTGGCCTAGAGTAAATAACTATTTTATATGAGTTTGTTTAAGTTCAGTGTGTCAGATTTATGATCTATCTGAAATTGCATAGGGAATCCCTCATCAGCCTGGCTCTTGGCATGTGAAAGCTGAGTGCCATTGTGAACACTTCCAGTTGTGCTATAGAGATGATATGCTGGTTCACTGTCCAAGTATGTTCTACGACACAGTGTGAAGCCATTGCTTTACAACGCTCTCTGGCTTCAAAGGGAACCTGGCTTTGTGTTGCCCTCTGTTAAAGCTAGAGATCAAGTCTAACCCCTTCACCAATTCATGCTAAAGATAAACTGTGCCAACTCCATGTATGTTTGGAGAAAATATCTCCCCTTCTCATGAGAATGGCTAAAGGTGTAGGTCTATTTAGCACAGGGCACCATGACATTTCCTGAGAAGCAAGCAGTGTGTCTTAGGTTAGAGTTTCTGTTGCTGTGAAAAGGCAGCATGACCATGGCAACTCTTATAAATGAAAACTTTTAATTGGGATGACTTCCTGATAATTCATAGGTTGAATCCATTATGGCCATGGTGGGGCATGGCAGCATGCATGCAGACATGGTGCTGGAAAAGTAGCTGAGAGTTTTATCTCTTGCAGGCAGCAGGAAGTGAGCTGTCTCACTGGGAGTAGCTTGAACACAGGAGACCTCAAAGCCCACTTCCACAGAGACACACTTCCTCCAACATAGCCATGCCTCCTAATAGTGCCACTCCGTGTGGCCATTTTCTTTCAAACCACTGCACAGTGTAAGTGAAGATTCACATATATACAGCGTGTGTTTGTATCTATGAAAATGCACGTTACGTTGGTTTACTAAAATAAGATCTTAGGAGAGGGCTGTTTTTGACTTGAAGATTTCACCCACTGCTCCCCATAGAATTTCAAAGAAAGTAAAGAAAAATAAAAGTAGTCCCAAGAGGGCAGTAAAAATTAGAAGTCCAAAGAATGAGGTTATAACCAAGAAAAATCAAGATGTAAAGGAGAGAGGGATGGGGGGGGGAGACAGGGAGAGGCAGAAAGAAATACTGGCACATAAAACACCAGTAAGAGGTAAATAGCAGGCAGTCTCATGCTGCACAATTGGGAAGACAGGCAGCTGCATCTGCCTCAGGTGGTCAGTGTTTGTAACTGAGCTGATGTCCAGACTCACACAAGCTGTTGGTGTCTCAAAATGCCTCATCTTCACTAGCAACACTGAGAAAAGTGCACTAAATCACACTGCATGCCTACCAAATCCACAGCAGCTTTACAGAGAAATAGGGGTAGGCTGGAAGCCTCTGTGGAGATAACTTTTTCATACAACTTCTGGCCAATGTACTGTTTGTTCAAGTGAAAAAGATTATTTGGCAGATTTAAGTGAGAGTAATTTTATCCTTTTTATGATCTATAACCATAAATATAAGAAGTGCTGTAATTATTTGAAACCAAGAAACAACAAAAACATTTTTTTACCTGAATTGTTGCTTAGAAATGAGATTTACAAAACAGAATAAAATGCCAAACATCATCAATTATGATAGAAATTTTTAAAATATCTCCTATTGTGGTGGTTATTAAAATGGAAACAAGAACCATATAGCATTGCTAGAATATGCTGATGGAACAATGGTCATACATCCATTAAGAGATATGAACATATATCAAGAGAAGTGGGTTGGTCATTGCTACTCTTTTCTTACCCCACCCTGTCTTTTCTGCCTGTTCTTCCCTCCCATCTATATACATTTCTTAGTTTATCTCTATTCTCTTATTATATAAATTATCTCATTCTTCCTTTTCCTTTTAGCCTAAAACAGTACCCCAAGTTGTATGAGCAAAGGGGGATGGCTGTGCATTTTCTTCTTAGTCTTGTCTTCTCTCTATCCCTTTTCCATCCTATATAAGGACAGACCTTGAGATGACAGCCTGAGTTAGAGTGTGATGTATATATGGTCCATAGGATCAAGGTCATGTCTGTGTTGGGCACTTGGTATCAAGCTCAGGGCCTTGCAGGGGCTCAGTACATATTCTTCCCTAAGATGCACCTGCTTTTATATACAGATGAGGAAATCTGATAAACTAGGAACACAGCTGGCTGTCTAGAGGGTTTTATTGCTCCACATGGGAATGAGAGGGCTGTTGCCCTGGAGACTTGGTCCGTACCATGGCCATACATGAAAAGAATTCAGATGATTTGGAATGCCAATGGTAGCTTTTCATCTACATCCATAAATGTGGTGGTTTGAATGAAGTTGACCCTGTTATGTTCATGTGTTTAAGAACTTGGCCCCCAGTTGATGAAGAACTTGGCCCCCAGTTGATGAAGAAGTTGGCCAGTTAATGAAACTGTTTGGGAAGGATTAGGAGGTGTGGCCTTGTTAGAGGAGGTATATCACTAGGGACATACTTTGAGGTTTCCGAAATCAACACCATTCCCAGTTAGCTCTATTTGCCTTCTACTTACCGATCATGCTATGAGCTCTCAGCAGATGCTCCAGTGACAGCCCATTTCTCCTTGCTGCCATGCTCACCATCATGACAGTCATGGACTCTAACCCTCTGAAACTATGAGCCTGAAATCAATTGCTTTCTAAGTTGCTTTGGTCATGGTACTTTGTTACAGCAATAGAAACGTAACTAACACAGAAGCTAGTTGCAGAGAATGGGCTATTGCTCTGACAGCCCTGACTACATTTCTTTAGAGGAGTATAGAGGACTTTGGGACTTTGGACTAGGAAAGTGGTTGAAATCTGTAAGCAAGGTTTAATGGATCATCCTAGTACAAACTTAGAGGGCAATAGTGCTGAGAAAAATGTGGGCTATGGAGGCCCAGCTCAAGAGGTTTCAGTTGGAACAATATTAACAGCTTGGCTAGAGATAATTCTTGTCATATTTTGGCAAAGAATGTGGCTGCCCTTTGTCTGTGTCCTAAAAATCTGAATGAGGCTAAATGGAAGGAAAACAAAACAAAACAAAAAACAATGACATGGCTATGATTTTAATGGGTCACTTACAAACTTTAGGTGTTGGCAATGTGACAGTATTAAAAGGCAGGGTCTA